TTTTGGTTAGCATTTCAGATTAATAAGGGCCTTCATTCTTTGTAGGTTTGAGCTGGATATGTTGTTGGAATCTGTCAATGTCACAACCAAGCGTGTCGAAGAGTTGCTGGAGAAAATCAACAACTCAAACAAAGAAGATGCTCCCATTTGTCTAGAGAAACACCTAACCGGTTGGTTATTCCTGATGATTTTTTGGAATCGGTTGTCGTTCTTAATCTTTTTGAGTTTTCTTTTTGTTTACACTATCTTATGGGCCTTTGCTCTGTTATTTTAGCTCTAAATCTGAGGTGCATTGAGCGTTTATACGGCGACCATGGACTTGATGTAATGGACGTATTAAGAAAGAACACTTCTCCAGCTCTGCCTGTGATATTAACTCGTTTGAAGCAGAAACAAGAAGAGTGGGCTAGATGTCGTGCAGATTTCAACAAAGTATGGGCTGAAATCTACTCTAAGAACTATCACAAATCACTTGATCATAGGAGCTTCTATTTCAAGCAGCAGGATACAAAGAGCTTGAGCACCAAAGGTAATTTGGTTGTTATTAAGAGTTGCAATGATGGAATTTCTTCTTTTTTGTTCGCAATTTTTCCAAAATCATCAATTATGATAATAGTATGTAGGTTTTCTACACTCTTATTAATGATACTTTGAGTGCTAGTGTGGTATCATGTGAAACCAAATTCGACATCATGATAATACTCATTCACCTTCCTTTTTTTCCTTCCTGCTTTTGATTCATATATCCTGCTAGTCATTGATTGAAGAAGATTTGACTGGTTAGTTGCTCTGAAAATGTGCCAGTCATGGAGAAAATACTAAAATAATTATTCTGCAAGGGGTTTTTTGGCATAATGTGCACAAGAGCTGGGATTTAATGTATATGATCCTTTTGAGACTTTAAGAACTAAATCCCTTTTGTGCTGGAACAAGCAATTATCCGTCTGCTTAATTCGTTCCCTGTTTGTAACTTGGGACTTTAAGAAATCAATCCCTTTTGTGAAGTTGGACTTGAGACCTACTGCCTTCCTGCCACAATTTTAGTATATCTGACTTTTAGCATTCCTTGATGCACAAGAAAGAACAATTTTAATGACTTCGAAAGCATTATGGACTACATGTTCAACAAATAACTGAAGCTCTACCATGCTTTCATTTTGTCAGCTACTTAGTTAACATACTATCAGTGGCTTTTTGTTTTCCAGAAATGCAACAGAAGACTTGTCTTAAAGAGTATGGATTGATTATCATGTGTTTGAATAATTAACATTCGGTGTTCTCTACAGCGCTTTTGGCGGAGATAAAAGAAATTAGCGAGAACAAACGCAAAGAGGATGACATGCTGCTAGCATTTGCTGCCGGAAACAAGCGTCCAATTGTACCTAATCTGGAATTTGAGTATTCCGATCCTGATGTCCATGAGGATCTGTATCAGCTCATCAAGTACTCTTGTGGGGAAGTTTGTACAACTGAACAGCTGGATAAGGTCATGAAGATCTGGACCACTTTCTTAGAACCAATGCTTGGTGTTCCTTCTCGAGCTCATGGTGCAGCAGAGGACACTGAAGATGTCATGAAGGCAAAGACTCTTTCTTTCAAGCACGGAGAAAGTGATGGAAGCCCTAGCGGTGGTGCTACCTTGGGCAGCTCAAAACACGTAGTTAATCCTTTAAGAAATGGAGAAGAAAGTATCCAGCCTGAGCAGCAGTCAAGTTCGACCAAGGTCTGGTTGGATAATGGAGTTAAAGAAAATGGTTCTCCTGCCACCACCAACCATACTGCTTGTAAAAATGATACTTCGTGCAGTACCCTTCAGCATGATAGTAAGTTACAGATTGCTCCATCTGCAGCTGACGAATCTTCTGGGGCTGGTAAGCATGCTACTTCTGCCGAACGGTTGGCTAATTCAAGTCCTTCACTTGCTACAGTCGCGGAGTTGAGTAATGGAAGAGCCAATCTTGAATCAGGTTTGAAAAATATTTGCTTCGTCTCCTATAGATTATCTTCTTCTGGAGTTGGATAACTCAGCCTCTGATATTTGAGATATGCTTTTCAGGTCCTGCTGGTGCTTCCTCAAAACCAAGTAATGTTGTCGCCAGTGATGATGGGATTGCATTAGGTTCCAGTAAAGAAGTTTTGCCAACAACAGAGGTATGTTCTTTTTGTTGTTTGAGCTTATCTCTACTGTTTTAGTTTGCTGTTGCATTCTTCACAAACTGACTTGCATGACCCGGTAAAATTCCTGTATGTTTGGGAAATAGTACTTCTGGATTGTGACTGTGGTGGTAGTATTAGTGTATTACCATTTTTTTTTTTTTTGTTTCTGATCAAATCCGTATGTGAATGCACTTGTTCCTATTCAGCCTGGTGAGCTTCCTAGGCCAGTCGTATCAGCAAATGGGGTTGTGACAGAGGGTAAGAAAGGTCACAGATACAATGAAGAATCAAATGCGCAGTTCAAAATTGAAAGAGAGGAGGGGGAGTTGTCTCCAAATGGAGGAGATTTTGAGGAGGATAATTTTGCCGCAGTCTATGGAGAAGCTGGTTCAGAGGCTGTTAGTGCTGCAAATAAACATACTAAAGAGGGTGGTGCTCCAAGCAGCAGCAGGCATTATCAAGGACAAACTAACGGGGAAGAAGATGAAAAGCGGAATGAAGAAGCAGCTGTAGAAAATGATGCTGATGATGAAGGTGAGGAAAGTGCTCAAAGGTCATCAGAGGACAGTGAAAATGCCTCTGAAAATGCTGCTGATGTCTCCGGGAGTGAGTCTGGTGATGGTGAAGAGTGCTCCAGGGAAGAAGAGCATGAAGAAGAAGATGGGGATCACGATGATGAAAATAATAATAAAGCCGAGAGTGAAGGTGAGGCCGAAGGCATGGCTGATGCTCATGATGTTGAGGGAGATGGAACAACAGTTTTACCATTTTCAGAAAGATTCCTCTTCAATGTGAAACCTCTAGCAAAGCACGTCCCTCTGGCATTGCATGATGGAGAGAAGGGGTCACGAGTTTTCTATGGGAATGATTCGTTTTATGTGCTTTTTAGACTTCACCAAGTAAGTTATTATTCCATCTTTGTTTATGTATAAGGTGTATTCATGAATGCATTTATCACTTTTATTGACAACTCTATTGTGTTGTTCACCAGACTTTGTATGAAAGGATACAATCAGCGAAGATCAACTCATCATCTGCTGACAGGAAATGGCGAGCAGCTTCAAATGATACAAGTTCCACCGATCTGTATGCTAGGTTAGTCCAATCCGAAGAGAGTTCTCATTTATGGTTGCTCAGCTAAACAAACTTTGGTGTTTTATTATTCTGGCCTGCATCTTGACAGGTTTATGAGTGCACTTTACAACCTTCTTGACGGATCTTCCGACAACACAAAATTTGAGGATGACTGCCGAGCTATAATTGGGACACAGTCATATGTCTTATTTACATTGGATAAGCTTATATATAAGCTAGTCAAACAGGTAAATGATTGGTGGCTTTTTTGTTTATCCTTTTTCCTTTCCTGTTATTTCCAAAGTTTCACACCTTTGGCCAATTTCCTCGCAGCTCCAAACAGTGGCAACTGATGAGATGGACAACAAGCTACTGCAGTTATATGCTTATGAAGAATCGAGAAAAGCTGGAAGGTTTGTTGACATAGTTTATCATGAGAACACGCGTGTCCTCCTTCATGACGAGAATATATATAGAGTTCAATGTGTGAGTCTTTAATCCCTTAGTTTGTAAATTGTTATTTCTTCAGTTTGTCCTAAACGTGTGAACTTAATGATTCAATTTTTATTGGGCTTATTTGGTACCACATTGTAGTCTTCGGGACCAACTCGGTTGTCCATTCAGCTGATGGACTTTGTACATGACAAGCCTGAGGTGACTGCAGTTTCTATGGATCCAAACTTCGCTGCGTACCTCCAGAGTGACTTCCTCTCTGTTGTTTCGGAGAAGAAAGAGAAGCCTGGGATTTTTTTGAAGAGGTAAAGCCGTGGCAACTCTATTCCTTTTGTTTTCCTTTGCTTTAATTGTGGCAAAATGCTTGATAATCGTACCCCTTGATTTTATAATTTTTAGCAGGAACAGACGTAGGAATGCCGTTGTTGATGAATTTCAAGCCATGGAAGGATTTCAGATTTTCAACGGTTTAGAGTGCAAGATTGCTTGCAGTTCTTCCAAGGTAGCAGAACAGCATTTCTCCATTGAATTCATATCCTAGTCATCATCTCGTATTAGAACGGGATTGGTATTGTCCTTGTAGTAATACATTTCCATTTCCCCGGATCTTCCCAAATGCTCTAGGTATCTTATGTTTTAGACACGGAAGATTATTTGTTCCGGACTAGAAGAAAAGGAAGGAGAACCCTCCCACAGAACTGCTCGTCATCCGTCAGTAATCAAGGAAAGAGCTGCGAAAGACTAGAGCGGTTCCAGAGGTGGCTATCTAGGTCATAGTACATGATACTCTACTCATGGTTCCCCCTTCCTGATAAGGTACATCCCGAGCTGTCTGTCTTTCTTATCCGCACAGCTTTCCGTCTAGAGCAAGAAAAGATGAAGAAAACAGGTTATATATTTGTTGTAGTGATCTCATTTTTCGTTACGGCGCTGGCAGAACACACTGCATTTTTATTTTGGGATGAGTTTTACGTGCAACTGGCGGCGGTCATCGGATGAAACGAACTCTACAGTCAGGCGGCAGAGGGATGCACGTACTTCTCGGAAATTTCGTTGGGTCTTCTTCCCTGTCGAGGGAAGAGCGAAATAAAAAAGCCAATTAGAAGAGGAAAGGGCAGTAGCAGCAGCAGCTGGCAAGGTGATGGGGCTGCGTGATTGAAATGTAGTATAGCTTTTGTACGTTAGAAGGCCATCAAAATGCTTTTCTTTCTTCTTCTCTTAAGTTTTTGTACATAGAGAAGGTAAAGAAGAATGTGATCATGTAATACCTGGAGATAGATATCCCTTCATCAGATAGACATTCATGATGTATTGTTCATCTCATTTATCATTCATTTTTCTCTAACGTTACGCCTCAGTTCAGCCAGGCCATGCTTACTTTTGTCGCGGGTGTACCATTACAAATCGCAGAGTACAGCCGGTTCAATAGTTATGAGGATCAAGGACAGAAGAACAACATTGTATCAATCCGATCTGATTCAGCCAAATATTAATTCGGATGATCAAATTCATGATCAAAGAATCGGATGCGGATTCTCAAAAATCAAACTAACGATATCATCTAATCTTCCACCAAGGGATTGAATCTTATGGACCAAGCTTGGCACTGACAAACAGAACAAGACCCAACTTGGGGGAACAATTTTGTGAAGGGAGACTTTCATCCAGCAAGTTCACTGATGGGAGAACGATCCATGATATCTGCAGCAGACTTGGCATTGCTCTTCAGAGCCGGGTCGACATCAGGCAACTTGGGAATCTGCGCCAGCAAGTCGATCGTCCTCCTCAAAAGCCTCGCTAGATCCCCATCGTCCATGGCGCAATCCATCGTCATCTCCCTCCAGCTTAACCCAGAAGCCCACGCCTCCACCATCCCGGCAAACTGGCTGTCCAAGAAGCAAGAAATCCCCACCCCGTGCCTCTCCTGAATCTTCACAAACCGACTCCTCTGCTCCTCCAGCGCTCCCACCACGCGAACCACCACGCTTGAGGGCTCGTAGATGTAGCTGCTGTTCTCGTGGACGCGCACTTTGATCCCTTCGGAGACCACGCTCGCACACACCCCTGCCAGCTGCGACGGCTTCAGGTCCAGTAGGATCCTGTTCCGAACCACCATTGCCAGCCACAGCTCGTTCTCCCCACGAATCACCGCTGCAGTCTCCCCCAGTGGGAAGATCATCTGTGTGTTTATATCCAACGCCCTGAGCTCGTGCACCACGTTGCAGATCTTCAGGAACTCTTTCCACCCTGACGGTTCGATCTCCCTGATTCTTTCGGACAACCTGGCTGACCTCATCTTCAGCCGCTTGATCTTGTCCTGTGTCGCGTTCTTCCGTTCCAGGATCTTTTTGTACTCTCTGAATCCTTCTGTTCTCGATATTCTTTTCTTCAACCTCGCCACCTTGTTACGTTGGTCCTTGTACTCCACCACAGCGTCGTGGTAAGCTTGTGACTTATGCAGTATCTCGTCGTTCTCAGACAGACTGGTTAGAACGGGGACGTTTAAGCTCCATGACCATGTTTCCAGGGATCCTTCTGAGAACCATAATCCGCCCAGTTCAGAATCAGCTATCTTTTCCCATTGCTTCTCCTCTTTGTCCAGAAGCATCCACATGGCTTCTCGGGGCAAAGCGTCGCCTTGTGCCAATGGAACGTTGGGGAAGCCAGTCCTGTAAACAGTTCTGATCCATTTCTCTGTGAAGAGATACCATGAATTGTCCGACCCCAATGCTAAATGATAAGACGGTTCCATTACGTCAGGAGTTTCTTCTTCGTCAGCATCGGCATCACTTGACTCGCTGGGTACAGGAACCGAATCTTCGACAGAAACCAAGTCCATTAGTTTCGGGCTACTGAAGGAATCGGCCTTTCCCAAGTAAACAGCAGGAACTGAATGTTCAACTCCATCCGAGTCTTTGTAATGTAAGCACAAAAAGAGTAACTGGTCATTTCCCATTTCCGCAAGGAGACTTTTTAGCGCATTCAATCTTTGTACTTCCACCACTCTTCTTAGTTCAGTCCGAAGGCGTTTTTCTTCTCTCAGCTGTTCCTGAAGTAGTGCGATTTCTTTATAAGCCCACTCTGGTAAGATCTGCCGGCTCCTTCTATCTACTGCCTCGTCGCTAATTTCTGATGTCAAAATCTCAATCTCTTTCTGGATTCTCGAGAGCTCCTCTTTGGAAGCAACCATTACGTTGCTACCAATGTACGTTCCGAAACTTCTCTCCACCAGTTTCTTCGCTTCCTCCAAAGTTCTCCCTGCCTGGAGAGGCTCTGTGTCACCAGACTCGTTCAGTCTACGAGTGACTCTAGAACCAGCAAGCAAGTTCAGAACCATCCCATAGGAAGCAGTGAACTGGGAAACGAGTGGTTCTAGTCCAGCAAACAGAAGTTTGCAGGCTTCTTCAGCGCCTTCAGTGGAGCTTTGAATCAGGACGACATTGCCCTTTTCGTCAATGCCTCTACGTCCAGCCCGGCCAGCCATTTGAAGCAGCTCATTTGGGCTTAACTGAATACGACCACTGGCATTCCTCTTACTGATGGATGAGATGACAGCTGTTCTAGCAGGCATGTTGATCCCAGCAGCTAAGGTTTCTGTAGCAAAGATGACCTTAATGAGTCCTCTCTGGAACAATTCCTCGATGAATGATTTCCACAAAGGTAGACAGCCAGCATGATGAGCAGCAATTCCTCTTCGAAGTCCTCTGATGGCAGTCTCACGGACGGCATCAGGATTCTGAAGAGTAAACTTCTTGAGAGCAAGTTCAACCTCAGTTGTTTCACATTCATCCAAGAGCTTGCAACCTTCAAGATACTTCACAGAAGCATCACATCCTCTTCGGTTGAAGATGAACCAGATTGCTGGCAGCATATCTCTTGCCCTGAGCTGACCTAATGTGTCAACGACAAGAGGGACCTAAACCACACATAAGTTATTCAGTTGGTCAAGGCCTTCTAACACGAGATTGTATTCCTAAAGCAAAGCATAGCCATGCTATAATGAGATCAGAGAAGTTCTTACCAATGAGCGTCGGATTCTGCTTATATCATTTTTTGAAAGGGACTCTTCAGGATTCATGAGATTGCCATCATAATCGTTTCGACCTCTACGTTTTCTTGGATTCCTTCTCCTTGGCCAATCATCATCTTTATATGATTTAGACCCTGGGGCAGAAAGCTGCAAGTAATTAAGGGATAATTTCCTGTTCCAAATTTAGAAACAATGCTTTAGTAAAGACACAGAATCACTATCAGATGTGAGTTAATAGAGCAGGATGTTTGCAGCCCACCTGTTCATGCGCTTTCCTTTGTCTTTCTCATCAAGAAGAGGAAGCAGAGACGCCTTTGTAGAAAAATGCCAAGTTAGTGGAACTGGACGTCTGGCAGATGTCACCAATTCAGTTTCTCCATGCACCTATACCAACAAAAGTGCGTATAAAATACTCTCGACGCCAAATCAGGTCCAAAACTAACAGGATTCGCCAGAGTTTTATTACAGCTCAACAGACATTGAGAGACAACTGTGCACCTTCGTTCTGGCAAAAATGTTGGTTTCGTCTATCTTAAGGGCAATAGAAGCGACATTCAATAAAAATAAAAGTTACCTCACGTATCCAACCAGCGAGCTCATCTGGATTCTTTACAGTTGCTGACAGACATATCAACTGAACCTCCTTAGGGCAGTAAATAACCTGACATAATCACCCGCAAAATCAATCACCAAGCTACGGGGATTGCAGTTTTTGGCAATAAAAAATCTACTAAATGAGTACATACTTACAATCTCCTCCCACACTGTTCCTCGAGATATATCACTTAGATAATGAACTTCGTCTAGGACAATCACGTCCACAAAGAGGAGTCCACTACCCGAAGAAACTGTCCCAATGCTGCATGATTAGATATAGCACCCTGAGTCCATGATTCACACAACAGCTTGAGCAATGCACAAAAGATTATTAGGAAATTCTGAGAATTAAATCAATGCTACAACATCCAGACACGGACTAAGTTATACCTTTGGTACAGCATATTACGCAGAATTTCTGTAGTCATGATCAAAATCTGAGCATCTTTATTGACAGCAGAATCTCCAGTGAGAAGACCGACATTGTCATCTCCAAACGTCTCCCTATCAATCAATTGCCACAACATATAAACATCGACCACGATAATCTACTCACCAGTTTCCTCCATAATTTCCTCTATGACCGAAGCAAATTTGCATTCGAATTACTAACCGGAAATCGCGGAACTTCTGATTGGACAATGCCTTAAGCGGAGTGGTATAAAAGATCCTCCTTCCCCGTGCTACTGTAGCCACCGCAGCTGCTTCAGCTATCAACGTCTTCCCGCTGCTGGTAGGAGCAGAGACCACGACCGAGGAGCCCCTCAAGAACGCTTCTACAGCTAACCGCTACACGAACGAAACGTTTTACGCACCGGAATTCCAATCGAAACTCATGAGAGCGCACAGAAAAAGCAGGCATTTCGTCTACATGTATGTACCTGAAATTTGTCGATGCGGAAATCATAGATGGAAGCGAGCTCATCAACGTCAATAATCTCATCCCCGAACTCTTTGACTACAGCACGGAGGCGCTCGACTCTCTGCAACTTCGTCTCCTCGCGCCAAGCCGAGATCTCTCCCGTCGCCATCGATACTTCGGTTTCATCTTCGTTTGGTTCGACTCCGTCGTCCTCGTCGTCGTAGTCGTATTCATCAGCGGCTTCCTCATCATCGTCGTCGTCGTCTTCGTCTTCTTCGTCATCGTCGTCCCTGTCGTCCTCTTCTTCTCGGTCGTCAGCGTCGTAGAGCTGCGATTCGGTTGGGAAAGTAGAGTTGGGGGACTTGGAGTGGAGCCGCCGCGGAGCGAGTGAGGATTGGGAGGGGATCAACCTAGGGCGGCAGAAGGCTAGGGTTTGGGAGAGAGGTTGGAAGTATGGAAATGAAGTGGAGACGACCAAGGGGAGGGAAAGTGGAGAAGAAAGCTGAAGAGGTAAGAGGATAGGGAGTGATTTCATGGCGGGAGAGAGGGATAGTGAGGCTCGCCGTGTTTTCCCTCTTTAACGGATTGTTTTCACTTTTTTCAGTCTTCGGATTTTATTCTTTTCTTTTCTTGCCGGTATACTCTGGGCCGTTTAGCTACATGGCCTGATCCTGATGGCATTAAGCGGGTCGTCTGCTCGTTGAAGGGATGGCAACATTAGAGTATGAGATCGGATAGTTCATATTTATTAATTAATTTGAATTAAATTGGATTTTCTTTATATCAATATATTTACATTAATGGGATAGAATATCAAAATTATACTTGGTGGACTCTAATTAAAATTTTATTTTAGCGCTAATACCACTACCACACCCGAACTATTACCAAAATGCCACTTGTGTCCTATTCTTTTCAATATTTCATTTATGTCCTGAACTATTGTTCCGTTAGTATTGATCGTTAAAGTTAACAAAAAATTTAGTCAGCATTGACAAGGCATCTGACATGAAACTTTTTATTTCAATATTATTTTTTTATAGAAAATGAATAAATAAGGAAAACAAAAACCCCATCCCGTGCGACAGCCTCTTGACACCACCTCCGGATATTTAATCCTCTTTGTGCACTTCTAGTCGCGTCGCCGGCCAAGAGACACCGCTCGCCTCGCCGGGTACTTCCCTCTCCGTAGGCCTTTTCTATTTCTCATTTCAGTCGATGCCATCACAAACAATCGTCGCCACCGTTGAAGTCTCAGTCATTGCCGGCCCCAACAACCCAGAATTAGAATCTATTGTATCCCTTCATGAGTCTTCCATCTCGACTTGAACCCAGAAACCCAGATCTAATACCTCTGTGGTTCTATGGGTACGCTTCAAATGGGAATCGACAGAAGAACGTCCCCCCGCAAACAGATTGACAGTCACAAAACATCCGTCGTTCTTCATTGCCGTCGCCTCCACATGATTCATCTACTTTGGACGAACCCAAATCTTCCCTCGTCAATTGTATCTGGAACCCACCAACGCAGAAAAAAAACATTGGCAAAGGGAGTCGTAATCAATCCTCAGATCCTGAATTCTGAGGCATATGCGAGAACGATTAATATCCTAGCATCCCTAATCAATTGCCACAACTCACTTGGTCGATTCCCTGCAAATCGAGGGTCAATTCCTCCTCCAATCGCTCCAATCGATGGCCGATTCAGCTGCTTCAGAGTCGGTTTTCATTGAGAGGCGAAGAGGTCGGTGGTGACGATGGTCCGTCTCGAGCTCCACAGCGGCGGCGAAGTGGATTTTAGGATCGGCGGAGTGGATGGTGGAGTGACGCTAAGACTACTTCTCAAAGGCGGCCCTCCATCTCCCTACCATCTCTCCTTGGTCCGCTACCCAGTCGCCCCGGTACCGCCTCACGCCTCAGATCTGAAAATAGGAGTGGAGGAGCCGGAGTATCGGGTGAGGGAGAGGAACAACCAAACGAGGGAGATGAAGTTTTTTTTGTTAATTTTGGAGGTTTAAAATATTGTTTAGTAATATTGTTTAGTAATATGGTTGAATTTAATTTTATTATAATTTTGAGTAAAAAATGATGTGGCAATGACATGGCGCCTATGTGGATGTCACATGCTTTGCCACGTCAGCAGAAGTCAACAACAGTTTGACTTCCGTCTGGTCAACCGTTATCTTTAACGGTCGACAAAATCGGGAGGACACAAATGACAAAAAATAACATACAAAAGAACATAAATGGAATATCGAAAAGAATAGGACACAAGTGTCATTTTGGTCATAGTTCGGGAGTTGTAGTGGTATTAGCCCTTTATTTTATTGGACGGAGACAACCTCACCCTCGAGTCACCTTGGGGTGACTCCGGCCACCCGAGGGTCAATCACCTCAAGTCACCTAGTCCATCCTAGGTGATATGATCCAAAATGGCCAACTATACATGTTTAAATTACTTGACGAAGAAGCTATCGAAGTTGGGAAGAAAAAGGGCAGAATTTGGTTAAGTGTTGGAATAGTTTCAGGTAGCCTACAATGGAAACTTGTATCTCACGAATGGCTCAATGAAAATTGGAGATCAAGGGCCTGTTTTGAAGATAAAGTTACCATCTTTCCAATGGTATTATTTTTGGATCCAGATGAATCCATTAAGACCATTTTCCATACGTCCAAAGTTGCTATCTAGAAAGCTGAAAACTGCCTGAAAATGGCTAAGGCAGAAAACTGTTTTGTGAAGTCTACTTTGGAGCTCAATTAGAGGAGCATGGGTCTGATTCAAGTCCAAATACTTCCACAACATGAAATTAGGTATGTTTATCTACCAAGGGAAGGAATCGGATGAAAGATTGGAGTTCTGGAAGGCCTCGAACGAAAGGCACGAAGTTAGTACAAAAGCTGTTTTCTAACAGCTTGATTGTGCTAGGAGGCAGGTTGCTTGTGCTTGAAGAAAGGGGAATTATGGCCGAATTTTGTGTTCTTTTTAGGGTTTTTCCTAGTTATATTAGGTTTTTATTGTCTTTAAATAGCTTTGAGAAACACGTTGTAAAGAATCAAGTTTAGTTGAATGAAAAATTACTCCTACGTGAATTTTGAGTTCTTTGAGTTGTTTCTCAAGAATCAAATCCTTGAGTTAGTTTAGTGTGGATTCCATCACTAATTCGAGAACCCTTGTCAACCTTTTCTGTGAGGAGTCCAGAATCGTTTAACAAGCTTCTATCAATCAAGTAAACACCTTAATTGTAGCGAAGTTCTACCATTCCATCATTATCGTTTGAGAGACTGTTTGCTGTGTATTCTGATAAAAATACAACCCCCCCCCCCCCCCCCCCCCCCCCCCCCCCCCCCCGGCCACCCCAGGGTCAACCACCCAGCCCACCCTAAGGTCACTCCAACCACCCGGGGTCAATCACCCCGGGACCACTCAACCCACCGGGGTCAATCACCCTAGGGTCACTCCAACCACCCCGGGTCAATCACCCTGGGTCACCTTGGGGTCACTCCGACTACCCCGAGGTCAATCACCTTGGGTCACCTGCCCACCCTGAGGTCACTCCGGCCACTCGGGGTCAATCACCCTGGGTCACCTTGGGGTCACTGCAGCCCTCCAGGGTCAATCACCCCGAGTCACATTGGGATCACTCCGACCACCATGGGTCACCTTGGGATCACTTCGACCACCCTAGGGTCAATCACCTCGGGTCACCTAGGCCACCTCGGGGTCACTCCGGTCACCCCCGTGGTGAACCACCTCGGGTCACCTCGACCACCTTGGGCTCTCCACCCACCCCGGGTCACATAGAATCTTTAGTCACGTACCCCCACGACGTGTCCTATCTCCACACCACAAAGCTCCCAAGGGAGACACGTACTCACTTCATGTTCGCCTGGAGGACTCACTAAAAGGCTGCTTCGTCTCCAGATTGAGGTAAGCAAAAAAATTAACATGCCTCGTGAACTCTCGCTAGGATTAGCGCATCTTTCATTCTCAACTCCATTCCCTCATCTTTCTTTTCGAGGTAACATTCCTCTCCACTCAACACACTCACTAACTTGAGCCTCAAAGAGCGTCCCTGTCGAGATCGGCCGACAGACCCTTTTTGCAGGAGACGACCGAAGCTGACATCACGAGAGAAGGTCGAAGTGAAAGGTGGCCATCGACGACTCTAGTGCCCAACATCAACAAAACTCGACATCGGCTACAACTACGCATCAACAATACTCATATCCGTTTAGGATTGGGGTATCCACGGATAACCATGAACAATAATTTCTTTTTATAACTTCAACCAACATAGTAACAATTTCAGATATACTCACATTACATAAATTAAAATTAAAATCATAAACTACTAAAATGAAGAAAATTAGTTAAAAATAATATAATTTCATGAAAATATTATATGGTTATAATAAATATCAAATATGTTAAGAAAATACACATGTATGTATATAATCGGCCGGGATGGGGTTGATAGTGTGAAAATGTAGTAGAAACGTTTTGGTGATCTAAAAGTGTAAAATCGTAAGTTTTTAAGTTTTAAAGCAGAGTTTTTAACTACATAAGTTGTAAAAACTAAGATTTTGTGTAGAAACGTTTTAGTTACCTAAAAACGTAAAATCGTAAGTTTTTAAGTTTTAAAGCGCGATGACGACTGTATAGAGGAGAGCTTTCTAATGGTGCTTTCTAATTTCTGTTTAATTTTTTCTTTTTCCATTTAGAGGGGAACTTCCACTCCATTACCTTCATTTATCTCATTTGCATACACGGAGAATGAGAGAATGTATGCTTTCTTTTTTCAAATTCAACAATGCAAAATCTCGGTGATTCTTCGAGGCAGTATAACTTGCTTCAATCTTTGCTGTTACGTTTGTTTTGCTTTTCTTTCTATATATCAGAAATGGGTAGCTCATTACCCCAACACTAATACGAATGGCGAACAAAAATCTCAAATCTATTATGCATAGTGTAAATCAAGAGGCATGTTATTTACTTTGTATAACTTCCAAGATTTTTCTGATCTATTTTTTTCCCGTTAGCTCTTCATGAAATTGCCGTTAATATGCACGGGAAACGAAATGTAGTCTCTAAACTGAGTTCCAACTAAATTCCCAACTATATTTTTTTCTTAAAGAGGTCTTGTAACGTTGAACTTTTTCATGATCTTCGTCGTTTATGCTACTTTGTTGTTAAATTGACATTAATGTGGATGAGAAATGATAATAATAATAAAAACAGCCCTCGGTTAGTAAAGGTGAAAGAACGGAAAAGTAACAAATACAGAAGTTTGAAAACAATATGACTTGACAAGGTTGTCAACCCGCGGGTTGACCAGGACCTGGTTGAGCTAGTGGGTCAATGGTTAATGGGTCACCCGGTTTAGCCCGGAAATATGGAAAGCGTCATTATATTGTATTTATCCTGATAAGTTATATCAAATCTCATCTAACATATGAGTTATAACATATAATATTACACCAAAATAACATTTCGTACTTAGATTCAACATATAGTGAAAATTCACACACACTTATATAACATTAATATTCAGATGTTCAACTTAGGATTCCAAAGATTGAGTTAGACGAAAAGCAAAATCGGAAAATAGACGCATTTCGCAAAACAAATAAAAAATTGTCACAATTTGACCTCCAACCCGGTACCTTGTGGCGGTCGACCCAGCAGGTGCGTGCGGCCCGTTTTTCGCACCGGGTCAGAGTCAAAGTGGGTCGACCCGCGGGTTGACAAGTGTTATCAACTCTCACCTCACCCTAACAATTCCATACGTCAACATGGTATCTTGGACCCCAAGTAGGGGTCAAGAATTCTTGGCTCTTGCTATAGCCAGAATCTCAAAGGTAGTAGCACCATATTGGGAAAATGTTCATAATCAGTTTCCCTAGATCATTGAATACAATTAAAGTTACATATCAAATTTATTGGACTCGCAAGGTTCATGAGCCAACTCACGAGCAAACCACCAGCTGGGCGTAGGCTGAATCCTGAATTGGGCTGAGAGTTACATTTTGACACAACCTGGGTTCCGTTTCTCAACATTTCAAACTAACTGGGCCAGGCTCCATTCCATAAAGCCCACCTAAACCTTTTACTATATAAATCAAACAAAGGAGCGAAGTTCTCACCTCATTGCCGGTGGATTAGGGTTTCAAGATTCTCATAGAGCTTCCAAGCTAATACACAGAGCGGCGCCGTCGTCCCCCGAGAAAAAACAACCATGGGGCACCAGAACGTCTGGAATTCTCACCCCAAGACCTACGGTCCTGGATCGAGGGCTTGGTGAGTCCTCTTTTCCCCTGTATTTCTCTCTCTTCGTTGAGGGTTTCCTCTGGTTTCGGTTTATGTCTATGGTCGACTGGTTTCTAGATCCGTATCCGCTTCGTTTGTATTTGGTCGGCTCTACGATTAGGGTTTTGTTGCTGAGGTCTAGGGTTCCCATTGACGATGTAGTATGTTGAGCCTCAAGTAAATTGACTTCGAATTTGCTTTGTGGAACCTAGTTTGATTGCCTAGTTTGATTCCGATGGTCAATGCTTATGTAGATGTATCGAGTATCTGCTATCTGAGCCCTCAAAGAAACCTGTGCTTTAGAAAGTATGTTTAGCCAGGCATCATTCCACTCTGTGCACCAATTTTCGTTAAGACCATCCGAGTATTCCTGATGGGTATATGGATGTTGTAATCTGTTGTTTACTCTTTGTTACATATCTGTTGCGGATTGGTATGCTGCAACTGTTTGTCTAGGGGGAAACGTTTGGTGGTGGATTTGCTTTGATGTACCATTTTCTAACTCTGGTACCTTGGTGATGTTTTGGACAGCCGTGTCTGTGGCAACCCTCATGCAATCATCAGGAAGTACGGGCTCATGTGCTGCAGGCAATGCTTCCGCAGCAACGCAAAGGAGATTGGCTTCATCAAGGTAAAAAAGGCTGAATCTTTCTGGTTCTAATTTCATTGATGGTTTCCTATTTTTCCTCATGTTTTGTCTCCTATAATCAG